AATACGTGTAAAAAATCTGCCATTAGTTTACTCACTTTTACCAAATAAAAATCAAGAAACATATGAAGAATTATTTACAATTGTTAAACAGCACATTGAACGTAAACCAAAATACCTCACAATTGATTTTGAAAAAGCGGCTGAAAACGCATTTGGTGTTATATATCCGCAATGGGATATACTTGGTTGCTTCTTCCATTTTAAACAATGCATATGGAGAAACATTTGTGTAAGTTTATTTTAATCATAATAAGTTAAATGGTTTTCTTTTATGGTATGTTTAATATTTTAATTTTTTCTTGCAGGAATTACATTTGAAAAAAGAATTTCTTGAAAATGATATTAGTCGTCGTTCAATGAAAAATTTAGCAGCATTAGCTTTTATTCCACCACAAAATGTTATCGAAGAATTTGTTCGAATAAAAGAAAATGCGTCAGATGTATTAGATGGTAAGAAGATGTTTGCATAATTTTTTAAAGACTTAATCTAAAAATTTTAAATTAAAAAAAAAATTTTACGCGTAAGAGTCGTGCGCTCAAGTGTCGCGCGCGCAAGTGTCGGCGCGCAAGTGTCATGCACGCAAACGTCGTACAACCGTGGGTGTGGGTGGGTGTGGGTGTGGGTGTGAGTGTGGTGAAGAAAAGAGCAACACACACACCCACACCCACACCCATAGCTATCTTCAACGGTATAAAAGATTGAAAAACATTTCAGATTTGAATACGAAAATGTTTCTATTAGCAAGAGTGGTTGCATTCTCAAATGTTTTTAGGCGTCGACACTAGCGTATATTTTGAGTTATGTATAAATTGATGAACTGGCCTCAAAATTTGCCTTGTATGTTAAAGCTGTTAGAAAGCGACAACATTTTTACAGATGTCTAAATGAAAGAAAATGATTTACACTACGTCTATCGCATTCCGACTGCCTAGGAGCGATATTGAATTGGACTGCACTTTCTCCGATTTTCGAAAATACGTTTCTCTTGCTTTGAATTCTTCGTCCCACCACTAGTTAGAAACGTCCGTTCATTTCAGATATCGAGTATCAATCTGAGAAAGCAAACACCTTGGAACAATTTATACTTTGACTATTTGATAATGAAGAAAAAAGGACACAAGGATGTGTGGGTGTATATCAGAGATGGACGGGGCAGCAAAAAAGTCACACCGCCACCGCCCCGTCCCGTCCCGTCCCGCCGATAAAGTTCGGCACCGCCACCGCCTCGTCCCGTCAGTACCCACACCGCCACCGTCCCGTCTCATTTCAAATCTGTTTTCAGAGACCATTTATTTATAAACTTTTCAGTACATGTTCATAATCATTATTTTATTTCATCAAACGAGAATGCATATTTCAGATACATAATCACAATTTCCAAATAAAAAAAAATATTTAAATATAAAAACAAAACCCAT